TACTAAATCAATTACAGATTGAATATTACTTATTGAATCTATTCGTGTATATTTGTGGATGTTTTAATGTCTGAAAAACGTATTCCCTACACATAGTGCACGTTCCTTACATAGGGTGATTAATATTTTTCCATTGTCATTAGTATTTTCCTCCCCGTATTGACCTACTACTTTACGTTCTCGATTACCTACTCTGCCATTAAAATCCCCAATTAGTATTATTTCATTTTGATACGGAATACGGAGGTCTTCAAAGAACTTATTCTTTTCATCTACTACAAGTGCATAATCATTTACGGCATATATCCCTTAAAACATTGTTTACCGTATATAATTTTATGTCTTCTGTCGTGTTTATACCGTATACACACTTCTCACGCTCATGGTTCTGGCCATGGCAGAGATATTTCACCCATGGTTCTAGCTTTGATTTCTAGTGGGCACTCGAGTTTTTGTATTAGTTCTGCATTGAGAAAATTGAAGGTAATAGAATTCATACAAAACAAACACAAACTAGGTTTTGGAAATAGTATTTCGTTCGAAATCCCAATCTTTAGTACAAGCACTATGGTTTGCACACGATATACACTTGTTAATTTTATGATTTTTGTTATTATTGCTACTACTTGTGGTGATGATAACGTACTAAAATTATATCATTTCGAAAAAATCCTCGTGTATATTGCAATAATGAAAGATCTTCCACACACATACTCGTATTCACAACGATGTTCTCAACTGCCACCGCTGCCAGGAAGATGATTGTACTCGTACACCATAGACATATAGTACTAGACTGGCAATGAACGATTCTTTTTGAGCCAACCGATTGCGCCCGCCGCCATATTTTGTCACTAGTTTCACACACAGGCATACAATGATGTACTTCAGATGAGCTCTTGGGACGTATAGCTGGTAAAAAACTGCGATATTGAACAGAAAATATTTTTGGGGAAATAAAAAAATAATATGTTTAAATCGCATTTATTGCTTTCAATGTCAAAAACAGTAACAGTGTCATGTTTCTATTGACATATATGAAGGGGATAAAAAGCTACATTAAAATATCCAGAAGTAAGGCAAGGGACCATCTCAGCATTTGCTCACGGATTCAGGGAACCTGGATGAAAACCTGATCGAGATGGAGCTTTAAAATGTTATCCAAATTTACTGGACGAAATCAGTAAATTGAAAATCTTGTCCGTGGTATTAAAAAACTTTACAGTTTCTCCTGAATGTTGAAAATCCTTCGACTTCATTACTTTATCACAATAGTCTATAGAGTATGCAACTGATCTGCTCAGGGTTTGCACAGCTAATCGAATACACATTATATGTATTAACCAAAAATACATATTTAGATGTTATCTAAATGCAAACCCTCAGCACTCTTAAGATTGAAGTAGGCCTCTACATATACTCACTGAATGGAACCTTCTTTTGTGTAAATAACGCCATTTTCTGCTAAACAATTGCATACAAGTTATTTAATAGAGAACGCATCTAACAATTCAGCCATAGATTGGTTGCAGGCTACAAGATAAGGAAAATAAGTTTTTAACTTGTCTGCTCGACTCACATTTGCCCCCAAACTTTGTGTCATTCAAAGGACAGTCAGAAGGAAATGCCTCCGAATTTATTACGTATTTATTCTTCAAAGAAAAAAGGCGAAATTAATATGAATTTATTTCTCAAGCTTTCTTTATAAATAATTTATCATTCGAAATATTCTCATTTTAATCGTACAGTTTTTCTCCAACATTGAACGCGAGTGTATTCCCTGGCGGTAAAAATCGCTGTCCTGCTTTCGCAGCCATTAGCACATGGCGTTCTTCATTTCATTGTATTAAAAACGATGCCCGCGCTAACTTCCTTTTAGAGGTGAACAAAGAAGAAAGTTAGAAGGATTAAGGCACTGATCTCTATATATACTTCTGGATAGGCCTTAACCTATCGAAAAGTGAAGCCTATTTCGGCGGCCATGATACTGAGCTCTAAACCTAATTTCCAATATGGCGTCAACTGAATTTTAACATTCATGTCGACGTATCGATAAATATGACACAAAAGTTGTTTGCGTTTTTAATGAATATATGAATATAAATAAATAAATGTTTTGAAAAGGGAATGTTGATTTTGTATATCAAAATTTAAAATGCATTCAAAATTTTGACTAATAAGATTATCATAGGCATACATCATATATCATAACTAGAAAATATTATTTCTGTTTCAGGAAGCGGTGTTTTTAGCCCCACTCAACAAATTTGTAATCTGTCTGATTTCCAGTTACTAGAAAAAGTGAGAGCTAAAAAACTGGTACAGCTATGCGTATTGGAATAAAGAATTTCTGGAACAAATCTGAATACGGCGCTCCGGTCGGCAACGACTCTATGACGACCAGAGTTTGACACGGTTGTTAGATCGGTTACTGCTGCTACAATGGCAGATTAACACGATTTATGTGAGTTTGAACGTAGTGTTATAGTCTGCGCAAGAGAGATGAGGCATAGCATTTCCACTGTCGCGATGAAATTTGGATTTTTCCGTGCGACTACTTTACAAGTGTAACGTGAATTTCGGGAAACCGGGGAAACATCAAACCTCTGGCATAGCTGCGACCGCAAAAAGATCGTGCAAGAACAGAACCGACGACGAGTGTTGAGAATCATTATGCGTGACAAAAGTATCGCAAATTGCTGCAAATTTCAATGCTGAGCCATCAGCAAACGTCAGCGTGCAAACCATTCCACGAGGCATTATCGATATGGGGTTTCGGAGCAGAAGGCCCACTCATGTATTGCTGATGAATGCACGACTCAAACCTTTACTCCTCAGCTGGGACCGTCAACAGAAATTAGACTGATGATGATTTGGGCAATTCCAGCGACAGCTCATACGTCCAGAATTGCTGCAGAGTGGCTCCAGCAACACTCTTCTAAATTTAAATAGTTTCATTGGCCAACAAAATCCCCAGGCATAAACATTATTGACCCTATCTGGGGTGCCTTGCAACGCGCTGTTCAGAAGAGATCTCCACCCCCACGAATGTATGAACAGCCCTGCAGGATTCATATTGTCAATTACCTCCACCACTACTTCAGACATTAGTCGATTCCTTGCCACGTCGTGTTGCGGCATTTCTGGGTGCTCGCGGGGGCCTCCTTCACGATATTAGGCAGGTGTACCAGTTTTTTTGGCTCTGCAGTGTATACGTATAGGGACATAGGGAAAGCTATGCAATGGAAAACCGATTTCAACGGAAATATACGTTTTGGGGTCCCGAAAAAGTGTTGTTTGTTTCAAAACGTCCGTCCGTCCGTAAACACTACTAGCGCCTAAATCATATGTAGGATGTTTTCCAAAATGAAAACATCTACCCATCTGGCTCGAGTGGAAGCTTTGAGATTGTGAAAAACATTCTTTAAAGTTTTTGGAGTACTTTACATGAATATTGGATATTGTCAATTTTTTCTTTGAATGTCTATAAAAATAGAGTAAAATACACCAAAAGTTCCGAATAGTAATTCTTATTTCCGATTTTCAGGGTTAACTCTAAATTATGGAAAATTGTAAGTTAGAAATTTTATCGGTGTCTTCCTACAACTATAAAATTGAAGATAGATTTTTCCTTCAAATATTTTTTTCTGGATAGTGAGTTCTTTCGTTAAGGTGACGAATTGCACGTTGACTTGAAAACTAGGAAGGACTTGTTAAAAAAATCTAAATATTCATGTCAAATGTACTTTCTATTCTTCTTCGTCTTTTCTGGAGCTTCACCAATTATTTCATTGAATTGGTCGTCAGATGCCATCTCGCTATGTTATTACTATTGAAAATAACTGAAAGCGATGTTAAAATCAAAGAGGTTATATTATACATACGCTGTTTATGAAACGCTTATGATTGGCCGGTATATAGAACATGTAAGAAAACCCGAATAGAAAAGGCGATAAAGATTTTGAGATTCATCGCCCAGATTGGGGGCATATTGTGTGTATAGATAAACACTATTGGTGTAGCAAAATAGTCATTAAAACACTCACCTGAGTTGAAAGAGGCTGTATGCAACCCGCTAAACACTTCCATTGTTACAGCGGCTCTGCTTGCTCAGTAATCGGGCGTCAAAGTTAGTTGCCCACTCTGATAATCCTGCGCTTCGGGATCGTAATTATTTTAGAGCAGTTTTGAGTAAGGATGCTACGTACGTTAGAATGTGTATATAATGTCATATTTCATTTCTTACATTGGAACTTTTGTATTCGTTTACAAATTAATCTTTTAGAACACTATCGGAACCCTGCAGACGTTCTGCTCATCTCCCTCTCTCCCCACCACTCCCTCTTATTTGCAGATTCTCCGCGTCTCAACAGGAGGGGTAAAGTCGAGATAAGCCAGGCCAACAAAAATGTAATAAAATATTTAAGACCTCATCTTGTATAATAAATTTCTTTGGAGCCTATGGTCTCAAAGTTTTAGTTTTTATGGCACTACAGCGCGTCGTTTAAGAACTATTTAACGACGTAGTAAAAAAAACTGCAGTGTGTAGCGGGTTGCATTTGACAGGAACAATTAGTTTTCTATGTTTTTTTCGTGAATATTACCGATGTTTTAGTAGTTATTCTGCTCTTCGGGGCAGAGATGAATCAAACAAATTAGAAATAATTAAAATTGATTCGGCCGTTCCTGAGTTACAAAAGGTATAACTAACTCGACTTTGTTTTATTTATTGACGTATTTGAAATAAAGATCGCTAACCTTCAGTTGTTCTCTCCCAATTTCTACATTTCGATGTTATGCAAGTTAGAATTTGTATATTATTTCATATAATTATTTGCTATTTTATTTCAAATCGCATTGTCCTAAATGTGAAAACTAATAGAAAAGCGGCTATTGTTAGTTGTTACCCATCATTGTAATGCAGCACAGGTAACAGAAGTCGACAAAGATTGCTGCTTATCATTCAGGGTAATAAAAACAAATACTTTTAAAAATTTGTAGAATATTACAATATTATATTCTTTACTTTATTTACACATTTTACTTCCTTGTTTACTTCATATTTTTCACACCAAATGTTATACATTTTCAAATGAATTTTACAAAAAATAATTCAGAGAGAAGTTGTATGAAACAGTACTACGTAACCATTCCTAATGGCAAGAAAGTACATGGTCTTTTAGCCCCACTAGTTTAAGAAATAGTATATTCTATTTTCGAAAGGTAGGGTTGATTTCCTTCTCTGTACTGAACCATGGTTTGTAGTTCTATTTATTTTTCATAAATTTCATTCCACATTTTCTAAAACTTCTGTCTAGCTTTAACTTGAAGAAGTAGAACTATTTCTAAAAAATAAAATGTAATTAAGAACTCATCACGAATACCAATTTCTGCATAAAGTAAAAAGCTTTCAAAAATTAAACCATGGATGGATTGGTGTCAACATATGGCTAAGCCTTCACCAGTTGTTTGATGTAAGTGAGGTAATGTAACATGTCTCAGGCATGGGTAAATGGCCAATTTTTCCTGATTTTTGTACAATATGATTTAATTTTTTGAAAAAATATTTATAAAAATGTTGTAAGTGCCATAGGCATCACAGTAATGTGATTGGTTGAGTATTTTAATTTCAGACAGCACATTGTAAATTTTTATTTGTGAAAAAGCTTCAGTTATCACAAAATAATTCAGTTAAATTAAGATATTACACAATATTCATTACAGCAAATAGGATATAAATAAAACCCAGTTATGAGAAGAATTTGAAAATAAATTTTGTTTAATTATAAAATTTACTTCAATCATAATAATGAATTCCATATAATTATTCATAATATTAAAATGAATTCTATTTTTTTTTAGGTAATTCAGGGCTGTTCCCAATGGCCAACACTATTGACTTGCCCTAATACCAACTTCCTTTCTAAAGACTTTTAATCCAGACAGAGCATTAACACAGGGAGAAATGAATTAATTTACTAGTTGATTAGCACCTTTTATTGTCGCCATTTAACATGAGGACAAAATGAAGATGTCTCAGTTTCACAATGAAAGCAGTAGCCTCAAAAAACACAATCTTTTAGAGCATAACCAAGAAGGAAGTGGCCTTCTTTTTACATTTTTTTTCATATACAAAGTTACCACTTTAAAACTTGATTTCAAACAATTTACACACACACAAATCAGCTTGGTAACATGACACATTATTTTATTACCTCTTATTGTTAATACCTCTATATCTAATTATAATATTTTTCTGTAATCTAACAAACGCTGAGGCGTAAAATTTTAATTCCAAACTTTAACTCATTAAGAATTGAAGTAGCTGTACATTCATCAGAACAATACATTAACTTTGGTTGTATTCAAAACATCACAAATAAAAATCTTTATACAAAAATCATACACTCTCAATGTTTTACAATTTATGAATATTGAGCACAAAATTTACGGATTAATTGCATTTTCAGAAGGCACATAAACAGAAACACTTTCACCATGAGCCATTTCCTTGATAACCCAGTTTTTGCTTTTGATGAAAGTGTCTACACTGTCATGCGTGGACAAACTCAATTTAGAAAGGTTGGGCAAAGACAGAACACCATTTAACACATGATCACTTAATGTAGTTTCACGGGAGAGTCCAGATAAATTTAATTCTTCCAAGTTTTTGCATTCCTGCAAAGACAACAACCCAGTTTCAGTAAGAGTAGTGCAACCTGAAATGTCTAACAAGCGAAGATCTCCCATTCTTAAAAACGCTGATAATGCTTCATTCTTTAAGCCTACACAACCTTTTAGTCTCAATTTTTCTAGTTTGGGATGTTCAGAAGCTATTAATTGAGCATCTTCAAGTTCTAAACTACAGCAATTCTCAAGATCTAAATCTCTAAGCTGAGATAATCCTTTTTGGGCAAGTAGATCTCCCAAAATTCCTTTCTTAGTGACTACAAATCCTTTCAGAGCTAGAGTGTGTAATTTTCCAAAATGTTTGAAATCTTGGATCACTGAAATAAAGCTGTAACATGGTTTCGCCATGAAATCGATACTTAGGTCTTCGAGATTTCTACAATGCTGCAATCCTTTTAATACCTTTTTATCAGGTCCTTGAAGCACAAGATGTGTCACATTAATACATCTTTCTCTAAGAGTTTCACTCTTGTCTTTTTTACAATATTGCACAAAGCAATTAGGCAACAATCCTTGCACCTGTTCTCCATCTACTCCGGAAGTTCGACAAACCGACAGGAACTTCAAATGTGGCAGTTGCTTCAGGGTCTCAACAAGGATACTGGAGTTGATTTCTGTACTGTCAAGATATAATTTCTTAGTACTTTTCATTTTAGCTATTTCACCCAACATGGGAAGTGTTATGAGACCATTCCAATTCATCTTCAACTCTTGTAAATGCAGACAATTTTTCAGATATGATAACCCCTTGTCAGTCACAGCAGGGCAACCAGAAATGTCTAAGCTGGACAAAAGGGAACACTGGGCTATTTCCTTCAAGCATGCATCGTCCACTACAACACATCCTTTCAAGCAAATTATTGAAAGCTGTGCACAAGCTGTGGAAATACTTTTAAATACACGAAGGCTGACTGTAGAAGAGTTGGCTAAATTCAGTTCAACAAGTTTAGGGAATTTACTTTTAAGAAACATACAAGATATTACATCCGAGTCTTCATTAACAAATGAGGTCAGACTCAAACACTTGAGATTTATTAAATTTTTCAAGTCTGCAAAAAATTCACCAAAATCAGTTTCTGCAAACTGCCTCGCCATGAAGTTTAATTTTAATGTTTGCAATTGCACACATAGTGGTATATGAGTAAGAAACCGAGAAGAATGGAGGGTTTGCATTTCCAAACTTTTAAGTCTTCCTTGCACAAATGACATCATTTGATGAAAAGTTTCACATGAATGCTCACTATAAAGATCCAAAGCCTCCAAGGAATGCCAATCTCCATCTTTTAATTCAATTTCTCCTGATCTCTGCTCAAGAACTGAATATTGATGGAATAACTGGATACACTTAATTTTTTTCAAATTTTTAAGTTTACACAGATAAGAGGTGTGATTCACAAACACTGATAAAGAAAGTTGTAAATATTCCAGATTTGGGAATTTTTGGATTAATGTCTCAATCATTGGAGTATCTGCCTCAAAGGTGCCAAAAGAAAGGGATGTAATCATAGGATTATACTTACAAAGGGCATTAAATAAATCTGCCTTTTTGAGGCCTTCACGAAATTCAAATGACTTCAGAAATGGACATTTTGACAATAACATTACAACACTTTCAGTAGTTGAGCCATAAGGCGGCTTGAAAGTTATATTTTTCCATGAAATTGATTCTTGGACAATGTTCTGCCAGTTTTGGTTCACAAATTGAACAGACAACACTAAATCTTCAAATGATAAGTACTGGAATATTTCAAGAATTATATCATACGGCAAAGAGTCGATGGTTCTGACATCCATGGTTAACCTGAGAAGGAAAAAGCGAACAAATACATTTAAAATTAACTTTTCAGCTGCCACACGTTTGGTTTCTGATTCTATGCTTTAGTGCGTGTATCATATTCAAAACGGTAGGATCTAATTACATATTAAATACTGAAACTTATTTTTCCTTTAACTGATCCTTCTGCGATTTACATTGTTCATAAAGTGTCTGTATACTTACTCTTCTTTGGCCTGAGCCAACTCAAAATTATTCCCTAAACTCTTCGAATATTCCTTCTGTCTCGAAATGATAAAGCAGTAGGATCGATCTAAGCAGCACCCGCGACGATCCACTTCAATCTGAAATTGCCCTCGAGCAATCCTGGTACATCGGCCGATCTTTATTACGAGAGAACATAAAAAGAGACAATGCAACAACCCTTGCCTGGCCGGCGCAGAATCATACAACACACACAAAGCTCATCGCTAGCACTACAACTAAGAACATGCCGGAACTGACAGGAGTTGTCATTGCGTTTTCTTGCACCAATTGCGCAAATGTCAGACCATAAGCATGTGATTATACTACGATTTTCGTAACTCTGCCCCTAGCAGATATCAATTGTTTACAGTTTCATCCAATCGGAAGATTAAACGTCACCATAGTGCCATCACTATGGTTGGCGTTTAAGCTCCCGATTGGATAAGACCCGTCAACAGCAGATTCTTGCCAGGGGCAGAATTGATTAAATCGTAGTATACGCACCTGGCTATTCACGGTCATATAAAAGATAACAATCTCCTCTATGTGCATGGGTCCCACTACTGGTCATGCATGTCAGACAAGAGCTTCCACGAACCAAATGACAAATGTATATGCAGTGAATGTGAAAGATATTGTGAGTGTTATGGCATAATAAATTGCACCAAATCTATTACCATGTATGCCGTCGAGAACTAATTGCAAGATATGCGTGAATCCCCATTATCGTTATTATTTATGGAGTCCTCATATCGAGGAGTGGAGGGAGAAGGCATGCATTTCTCACACGCCCAGTCAATAAGCATTGAGACCTCATGGTCATTGAGAAGTAGTCAAAGATTATAGGTAGTGGCAATTTTAAAATGTGTATCACACATTCGGAAAAGGTAATAATAAATAATAATAGTATGAAAGAAAAAAATAATAATACAATAATTATAATATATACTATATTTTGATTCAAGAGTATGCGTTGTTACATTGTGTGATAAATCAAGCTAATAGTTACAATACTTCATAGCATAAAATCTAAGATAGTACCCATACAGCAATGAATACATATATAATATATCCATTGCTTCATGATAATATCCTTAAAATATATGTAATTGATGTATTTAATACACTATTATACGCGTACGTTTTCTTGAGCCCCAGAGTAGGTCTATCCATTCCCACCACCTTTACTAAAAGGAGTTGAATCATGGCCTGACGAGCGTTGGTAACAAAATATAATTACCAGGAATGTTTGCTCTTGTACACTAGTAAAACGAGCTACAAATTTGAGATAATTGTCCTGTCGTCTCCCCCTCCCCCCCACTACCCACGATCATCGCATTGTAGCAGAAACGATGGCTCAAGAAAATGGGTGCGAATGAATAACAATATTATATAATTTTTCATACATTTAAAAAAAAACTTCAACGATACAGAAAACTTTTTTTTTTCCAATTAAAATGACATATTGACAGAAGTCAAAATGGATTCAGAAATAGCAGATCTACAAACACAGCTACCTTCTCTTTTCTACATGACATATTGGATACTCTAGATTAAAGAAAATTCCACTTTTGTTTTTGCTTTCTAGATTTAAGATTTGACATTATTGACCATCATATACTGTTATCAAAACATGACACTTAGAGAGTTAGAAGCATTGCACATCACTGGATTAAATCTTACCTTGTCAAGTAATAACAATCATGCATGTTAGAGATTAAAAGATTTCAACTAGTTTTACCCAACCTAGACTGATAAATTATGGAATACTACTAGGATCAATCCTAATACCTATTGGCCCACTATTTCTTTTATACATCAATGACATGCCTCTGACTTTATAAATCATCAAAATAGTCATAATTGCAGATGAAATAGGCTACATGCTACTATTAAAGCAAGTACACAATAAACTACAAAAAGAAACACAAAACGGTTCTAGAGGCACTAGTAAAATGCAATAAACAAACTCATTCTAAACAGCAGTAAAACGGTCTTTCTTAACTTCAGGACTCCACTCTAAAAAGAAAAACCAAAAGCATAATTAATCAGAAAAAAACATGCCTTAAAAAAAGACCCCCAAAAAACTTTACTTGGATTCTAGATTATGTATAATGGAACTCTCAGTTTACAGATCTAAAAACCAAGCTTATTAACAAAGTTTAATTATTGTGTGCATTTTCTAATTAGTAATATATTCTTATAATGCTTGTAATCTTTCGGTTAATTCTATGCCATTAATAGGGATTAAATACTGGTTTCTAGGGGTGCTTTTCATTGATTATTTTGTGTCTTAATTCATCACCCTTTAACGGATTCATTTGTTTCAAACCACCATTTTAGACATGTGAATGATAGCATACCTGCTCCTGCAATAAATGGGTGAAAACTCACCTACCTTATTGAAATTTCCTACGAACATTGCACTCATACTATTCATTTTTATTAGCCTATATGCACAATGCATGTTAGAAAGACATTCAGTTTGTTAATTTTTTAATTCAAGTACAGATTTCATGTTGCAATATTATACAGATCCAACCAGAAACCATCACGTGTAAATAGATTTTATCCTTATCTACCTACAGCATATTACACTTGATATTAATATTTTTCTCCTGATATTATTTTCCAGCTAATATACTACCCAGAAGAAACATTGAATTAAAGAATCTTCGAAACATACCCTTATAAAAGATGCATTTGTGACTGTTACGTTTCGTAATTTTTTGTACAATAAAACATTTTGAAATATTATTATAATAACAGTTTTAAAGATACAAACTAATTGTGAACATATCCTTAGCAATTTATTTAATTAGTTGCAATACATTTGTCAATGTCCATTCTCAAGATACAGAACATTCTGAATTGTTTCCATGCACGTCAACTGCTAGTGTCTACCTGTGAGTGTAGCGAGTTTCTATTAGGGGAGGTGGTAGCATTTCTCCCTTGCTGGACAGTGAGATTCAGAGACCTACACATCAACATTATCCCCCCTTCCCTTCAATTATTTCCTTCCAGAAGGGAATCGCCCCTGGTAAGCCTCCCAACATGGGTGTTTGTAAGGGGTGGGGAGAGGACACAAAAAAGGAAAATTGTGCATGTCTATGGCCTGTTTGTATTGATACTGCTCTGGTACTGATCAGAGCCGCCAGCCATTAGAAATTCCCTCCAGACTGCCAGAATTCAACCTAGCTACCATACGTAGCTAGTAAAAAATTTACCACCGTCGGGGCTCAAACTTAGGACCTCCTGGTCTGAGGCACTGCAGAGACAGTGGCAATGCTGACACTGAGCTAAACTTGGGTGGTAATAAATTGGATAAATTCGTGGGTTTTATACAATTTTAGATTGTTCAAAGCAATATACAATAATGTCACAGACAAGCTTTAGATCCTTCTACCTTTGTTCATTAGACTTGAAATGCTACCAATATATAATACAGCTAGAACAGATAACAGATGAAAAAAATTGTACGATCTTATTTTCAGAAAATTAAGCTTAATTAACATCATTAACATAGAAACAAGGTTGAAATGAAAGTTCACTTTAAGATCAAATCAGTTTTAGATATTCATCTTACTACAATGCTATAAATATTTACAATAGTTTACAACAGAAAGCACAAGTCTTTTTTCTCAATATTTAAATAAGTACAGTAGTATAAATCCATGTCCTACAACATAATGAGTTGGAAGTATTTGACACAATATAACTACATCATTGTTCAAATTAATTTTCAAAAATCAAAGTGTTACTTTAAACATACTTTCACTTGCTTTCTTTTATCTCATCTTCCATTTCAAAAACATTTTCACTGTCTTCATAACTTTGTTCTGGCTCAAAATAATCAAATTCTTCTTCATTAGATTTTCTGCCCTTCACATCACTTTCACTTTCTGAACTTTCATATTCGATAGGTAAGCCTTTGGCTACCATTAATTCCTTATACTGACTAAAGGTTATAGTCCTAGGCATTATTTCTGAAAGAAAGCACTCTTCAAAATGTAACACAAATGTATGATGTTCATTGTGCTATAAACTAAAAATAAAAATTATAAAAACATATTACCTTTTATAAATGACATTATTTCATTTGTCTGTACAATTTCTGCAACATCACTGTAACATAATTCTTGTTTGTTACTTGAAATGGCATGAGCAGATTTTGCCAAATAATGTATAAAAAACTCCTGAAAACAAATCACAAAAACATTTCTGATGAACACACTTTCCCAAAACACACCTACACATATTAAAAATAAAGTTCAGGCTTTTTATAACAAAATAAATACTCTTGAATTTCATTTACAGCAAGGTTATGGCAATACACATTAATTATAAAGTTTGTAGATTTTATACATAATTTAGGTTATTTTCAAACATTCTTCATTTAGATTGAAAAAGTAACACTGAATAATTGCATTAATCATGAAATCTTGATAAAATTTTGTTATTTTCACCATGAAATGATTAATCTTCATGCAGTGCAATTCATATAATATACAATATTTAAAAGGTAAAATCTTTTATGAAATGAATCTCACACATGGCGATACATTTTTCTAATGTTTGAAGAATGCATTCGTTAATAGGAAGATAAATTATCAGTAACATCTTAAGGTGTTTTATGTTCATAATCGAACAAAAAGAAGTGTAAAACAAGCAAGAACTTACCGTCGCTTTGTTAACTAGAAACAACGCTTCTTTCCCAATATTTTCAACTTCTGGCGAACTTTTCATAATAGTTTTAATGCGCGATTCTGGCAATTTCACTAATTTCTTTTCGCGTTTTCCTTTTCTTCCCGCCATCTTTTACGTCTTACGTGAAGCAATTGTTTTCAGATCAGAATATCAATGTCGCCAACAGAATGGTTAGCACATCGAAAATTTGGTGCAAATTTATCAATTCGAGAAATTATTTTTAAAGTATCTTGTTAAGAATATCTTACTGTAACGAAAGTGAAAGAATTAATGTAATAATCTTGACGAACCAATAGAGCTTCAATGGGGTTCATTTATCATTTTCAGTAGGTGGTTTAGGAAAAGTTACCAGATCTTAGTCTTTTATTAAATATTGACATTTTGAGACTTGAACAAATTATTATTGATAACCAATGTATTATGTCATGTTACTTCAAGTAATCATAGACAGAATCATAGAGTCTATTTCTTCTTTTACTGTTTTGACAGTTCACACTTCCTTCACAAGTTGCCATGCTATACACACATATTTTTATTGAAGGGAACACATGCCTTGCACACGTTGGCACTTGGCATTCCATTGACCCATGCGGCTTTCTCTGATGCCTGCTCCACCTCTTTGCTCCTTTGCTCCTTCCCAGTTGGATCGCCGAACTGATAGATTGTGAGGGGGGTGAGAACGAAGGTAAATTTAGAAAATGTTGGATCTATATACATAATACCCTGTTGACATCCGGATAATCTGTTGGTGCGCTTCACATATCAAGTTGAACTTAAAAAATTGTTTTTTTAAAGTTAGGATAATATTTTCTTTATTTTTGAATTGTTAAGGTTAGGTTCTTTCACCAGGTTGTGCTTGACACGTGTGAGCAATGACTTATACACTACACACTTAATGTACATTGAAAAAAGGCACTTAATTGTGTTGAATTTAATAATCATTTTTCAGGAATTAAAGCACCAAACATGACTTCTCCTCTGGCATATGAAAAAGTGTGGTTCGAGAAATGTAGATATGATGAAGCTGAGCGGTCTTACTTCGAGAAATTAGCGAAGGTAAGGAAAGAATGCTGGGCTATGTAAGACTAAACCAGGGTAATGTAATTATGAAAGGAAGAGTAATCTTGGAGAGCAAAAAATATTTAATTCCGTATTCTAGAAATTCACAGCAGTTTGTTTTTCATTTTAATTGTTGTTGTAAGAACGTTTTGATCGAAAATTGTTTATCAGCCACAGATAAGTGTGCACTTTTTACAAATTTTAATAGCATGATTCAATAAATGGAGGATATTCTACTGCCATGTATATTCAGGGTGAAAAATTAAAGAGCACTTATTATCTATGTACAAATACTATAGCAAGTCTTGGTGACCACACAACTTGTGAAGAATTGTTGTGACTAAAATTGCAATTTTGGCAGTTGTTTTGAGGAAACAGGTTAAGGAGGGTAAGGTAATCTAAACTATTATTTTTTGAACAAAAGTGCACATTGCTACAATAGTTTGATTATAATATTCAGTCAGTAAACCAGTTTATTTAGATACTGTACAAGGATGTTAGTTCTAATTAGTTACAAAATCAGCAATGGTATCTGGAACGAGCTCAGCTGGGGCAACTTGGACTCTCATCCGACTTAACTGGACACAAAAAGAAGTATTTACTTCCAATTTAAATTACTGCTATAAGCTATTTCATTTGCATGGTGAGATTAACTTTGATAGTGATTGGGAGAGATACTTTGAAATAAGCCCTCCCGTGTACCTTTTGCTCCCAGGCCAGTTTAAAAAACTTAAAGTTGTATTATTTCCTACACTTCCTCTAATTATTTACACAGGGCAGGGTTTGTGTCATAAAGAAAATTAAAATCGTGTTAATTGATGTTAGAAATACTCAGATTATAATTCTGAAATTATCAGTACTTCTTGAGGGTGGGTCAGATAATTATAATAATAGTGATGATTATTATTATTTTAATAATTGTTATATACTGTATTATATTAATATTATTTTGCATTTTTGTGTAATGCAGCAATTTGTTTCTAATTGAAAAGCAGATTGAAGTTCTCAAAACAGAAAAGTTTTTACGTTATATTCAGTAAATCATGCTTCTTAATAAATCTGATGTTCAGTTCAAGAATCATTGAACATATTGGCTAACATCAAAGTGGATTATTTTTATTTTGGGAACAAAGGCTTCAGTTCTTGACACTAAAAATATATTTAGTTAATCAATTAGGTTTCTTTCACATATCAACATAGTTTCCAATGTCAGTGCTGTAACTTCTCTTCAGTTATTATAACATTTTCCCCAAATCTCTTAATTTTAATTTAAACAATTGATTAATGGATTAATAAATAAAATGCACAGAAGCAATTTTCAACACTTTTTTGGCATTTTCAAAATGAATAGCTTTTGATTCTAAACCAAAACTAAATATTAATACCAGGTCTACACGTAAGCTTTGGCTGCTCGAATCCATAAATTCTCGGCTATCCTGGAGACGCCGCGTCGTTGGCTGGGAGACCGACATTTCGCCTGCCATGTCGCAGGCTTCCTCAGGGCAGTGACGAGCCAGTGCAGTGACAGTCACTGAAGCCTGCGACATGTCAGGCGAAACGTCGGCCTCCCAGCCAACGACACGGCGTCTCCCGGATAGCCGAGAATTTATAAATACCAGGTCTGCAATTTCTTTGGTATGCAAAATGACTAATGGCATGCTATTTAAATGCACAATATTTTAATCGTGAATAATGTTTCTTTTTTTTATTATAATTTAAGAGTATCAATTCTTACAATTAGTAAGGTTTACTAAAATGAAGTTAACTATAATTTTAGTGCATATAAAAATTAAATTTTTTATATTTCACATTCGTTGCTTAATAACAGCTTTCTTAAATACTAATTAGATATTATAAATTATAATAATTTTTAAAAAAGAATGTAAGATATTGAACATCAGTAGAATTAATTTTGCATTTTATTTAAGCCTGAATTAATAATGACCAAGAGTTAATAAAAAAGTAAGAATTTTTTTAAATTTGTTATAAACTTTATACATTATAATATTAATTAGTATATTTGATTATTGAAAAAAATTCATGTCAAAAGTAGAATCTTTAATATTTTTTTCTCCCCTTATCTGCATTAAATGGAATATCGCTTTTTTGTATTAAATCATAGGTAACATTCTTTTCCTTTCCCAAGGACTTGTAGACTTATTCTGAAATAATTATTTAATTTATTTGTTAGGTCCAGATTGAAATTTTCTTGCTTAATTCTGGTGAACTAACATTTTCATACATTGGTTCTGTTTTACTTGCAAGCTGCTTCTAAGTAATGGATTAACTGCGCTCCCTGTTCCTAAGAATGCAACCCAGTCTCCTCACTTGCTGATTTCTGAGAAGCAAGTGTCCATTACTAACCAAACACCAATAAAAAAGCCGTCAGCTGTAACCACTGTGAGTCGTGAGACTTTAACAACAAGTCCCTTAATCCTTTCAACTCACTCTCAAACAGAAGATGAAAAGAGATTTAAACCTAAAGAAGTGAAAGAAAAGCGAAATAAAGCTGATAAGAAAGGGTGTGATTTGAACATTCTCAAAGATGATTCTAAGGTATAGTGGATCTAGTTTAATGTTGATTTGTTGCCTTTTAGTTTTGGAGCGTTCTTCAGAACTTGATTTGTTAACACCTTTAATCACTAACATTGTTTCTCATAATTTTTGTTGTTCCAGAGTTCAAATAAGTCAAAATTTTTACATGTGCTTTTTGCTGATTCATGTAGATGTATGCAAAGCAAATTTGCATGTTAATTATGATAGTTTTCCTTTAGAGAAAAAAGAGGAATGATGTATGTATTTTCATAATAACAGAAAAATGCATTGTTATGCGAGACTTCCTTGTTTCAATTAAATAGTTTCTAAATAGATTTTTTTCCTGACAGTTCACATTTTAAAAAGGAATAAAAATGATGTTTGTGTAACAGCTGGCAATGAGAAAATGTCTTGTGGATGTATAATGCATATTTCTGTCTTGTAGGAATTTGTTTGGTTGATCTTTTTCATAGTATATTTAAATGTAAAATTCATATCAATTAAATTTTCAAGATCAAAGATACTGCATGAAATGCTTTTGTAGGAACTTCAATAGTTTTGTCATTTTTGTTGTTTTGTTTATTTTTTAATTTTTAACACAATTTATGTATTTTGAGTGTTATGAGATACTGTTTAAATTCTTGTGCAAATTCAACATCACATTGTCTAGATTGTAACTGTTATTTCTTTCTGGTGTAGGGATCTTCTAACATCCCCCTCAAAAACTCCCTTGCGGGGGAGGTTGCCAAGGTACGGCAACACATACAAAATTCTCTTGAATGTGTGAGTAAACTAATTACATTGCATCCTATTAACATTTTGACAGTATTTATTTGGTGCAATTAAGAATTACCTTACTTGACTTCCATTTCATCTGAGGAAATTGCAGTCTTGCTAACAGTTCTTAATTTGCATGGCTGTTTGGTTTGCTGAACTATTATTATTCAGTTAGCATGATGCTTAATAAAAATTAATGTTCTTTTCACGAGGCAGTTAACTAAATTTCAAAAGGAAAATTTCTATTTTTAGTAGTGTACTTATTATTTATATACTTATTTTTGTTATGCCAATTGGTTTATTTGTAAAATATTTGCTTAACTAACTAATTACTATGCAATTAACCACTAAAAATGAAACTGAGAATTACTAAGTCGGTGCTTGTCCAAATTTTAACTCAAAAGATTGCCTGTTGTAGTATTTTACATTAGGAAATTTTAAAGACTTTATGGTGTATGAATTCTGATATGAGAATATTTTTGTTTAGATGGATGGAATAGCAGCCCTTGCAACAAATGTGAATGTGGAGATTGTGAATCGCTTAAACACAGCAGAAAGGAAAAACCAAGAGTTGACTACTTGTAAGAGTACATTGTATGCTTACGATTAAAAAAGTTTTCTTTTTGTGTTGAAGTGCACAAGGTTATCTTTAGATACGGGTTACTTACTAAAAGTTCAGTGAACAGGAGTTTATTAAGTTAATCTTGGCGCAGTGGGTGGTTTATGATGTTTTATTTTCAGTGGTATCAGATTTGCAGTCAGTCGTCAAGCAACTGGAATCAAGGGTCAAGACATTGGAAAGCCAAAACAATATTAAATCTTCTGCTCCAGTTACAAGCAAAACTGCACCTGCACCCACACCTTCCAAGGCAGCGAAGGCAGATGACAATGATGTTGATTTATTTGCCTCTGATTCTGACGTGAGTTTCAATAATTAACTCCATGTGATGGCGTGTTTTGAGTTAAAATCAGAAAAACAATTTTATCTGGAATAAGTGATAGGTTGGTCTGTTTGGAATGTTAATAAGGTCTTACTCTTATCTCTTGTGTTATTAACTAGAAACACTAATAGCTTATGCTATCAAGAATGGTATTCTGTCGAATTGTATGATCAAGTCATGAAACATCGAAATAATTGAAGGGGGGAGAAAAAGAACAGAAACCAAAACAACAAAAAGGAAATGAAACAGAAAGTACTTTAACTTGTTGAAAATTGTATTGCTCATTATGAACATTTAAAAATAATTCCTAGTGTTATTTGCAAACTCGAAACATTCTAATTGTTATAAAGTTTTGTTTTTTTTATTACGGTTAAACAAAAAATTGTGGATGCTTTTCTGTTCTCTTTAACATTTGAAGAATCTCAAAAATTTAATTAGACTACAGCATTTAGTTTTGTAAGGGAAAACGATTTAGTATCAAGGCCCAAATATTGATTATTTGCATTTTTTGGGTATGCATTTGATTTTTGTGACAATTATGGAGATTGTGTAAAATGTTAAAACTGATTTTTAGGGTGAGGGGATAAAATTCTCAACTGTTATCAAATAATTTGTAAACCGGAGGTCTTTTTTACAACATAAATACTATTCTTTGTCAGAAAATTCAAGTCGCAAAAATCATCTTCAAAAATATCCACTTACAACATGCATTGCAGTGGAATAAAATTTTTGAGTAGTGAGAATTTTTAATGTGAAATTGATTAGATGTTCGTAAAGTATGATTTCTATTCCTGAGTGTATCTTGGATATTTGTGTGCCCATGGGATTTCCCAGCTGTATGTTATTGCTCAGTATTTTGCCTTAATTCTTTGTGATGAAAAAAATTGCAGGGTGAATCTGAATCCGTTAAAAAGGTTAAAGAAGAAGCTGCTGCTGCTGCAGCTTCAAAGAAGAAATCAAAGAGTAAGGATAAAGTTTAAAAGATAATTTAATTGTTAATGTTTATGCTTTGTATATTGTTTCTTAACAATTGCTTATTAACAATTTTCAGAACAAGAATTAATTCAGAAATCAATTATAATATTGGATGTAAAACCTTGGGATGATGAAACTGACATGAAGGAAATGGAAAAGAATGTCAGAAAAATAAATACTGATGGATTACTTTGGGGTGCATGTAAGTAACTAGCAAAATGTTGCATTCACCCTATTTTAACTTGCGTACTGATTTTATTCACTTTTTCCAACAGCCAAATTGGTTCCTTTGGCTTATGGTATTCATAAGCTTCAAATTTCATGTGTTGTGGAGGATGAGAAAGTGTCCATTGACTGGCTTCAAGAAGCAATAGAGGAAATACAAGATTATGTAAGTTGAGATACACAATGTAACTTTAATGTGTGTTTTGTAATTACAGTATTTTGTGCATCAAGAATAGACTAAAATGTCACAGTATAAAATCGCAATGGATTGAGATGGTAAGCTGCACAATTCTTCTATATTAAAGTACAAAACATTATGTTAGTTGTTTTGTTGAGGTCTTAATGAAGACCTGTGTAGGATTAAAATTTCACTTTTCCCAATTTGTGTTTGATGCCCGGGTTGGCTCAATTTTTCTCAATTCCAAAGAAAAAAACATCCACCTGCTTTTTTAATAAAACCCATGGAAAACCCCACTTGAAATATTTTATACAAATATAAATATTATAATCTAATTTCCAAAATCGTTACATAAGCATTTTACATTCTATAAATATTTATATTCTAAATGAAACTTACAACTTTACATCTGTGATAGTTTTTTAGGTATTTAAAAAAATTCAGCTAATTTCTCTGCCTTTTCTTCACACCAATTGTTCTCCAATTTGAACTTAACCAAATTATATATTGAAAAGATTCGTTTGATTGCTGCAGAACTTGTTGGGCACTTACAAATACTGTCCTTTTCTATGACTTGAAACAAAAAATCATATTCTAACTGATTTACTTGAGCCACTTGTTTAACCTGCCAAAACATGAATAATTTTGAATGGACCATGAATATATTCCTATCATATGTCAAGACATACGTAAATCTTCTGTTGGTTATAATTAATGTAAATGTTAGTTTTAGATTTATGTAAATTAATGCAATTAAATGAGTATAAATAAATCTTTAAATCAATCAAAATTAATTTTAAAACAATTTCAATTAAAACAAAAAAACAATAAAACCCAAATGAACCCAGTGGGTTGTTCTTTTCCAAACCCTGCTTGACGCAGTTATTACGTATTTTATTCCTAAAAAAGTTACGTCTAATTTCATTATGGTATTAACCATCATGTACATTTCTAAAGACTGTGTACAATTAGATTAATCATACTATTTTGTTAAATGTTATTTCTGAAGATGAATAAAATTAGGTGTACATGAAGCAATGACAGAACTCTAATTTGTGGATTCTCTGATTTTAGGTGCAAAGTGTTGATATTGCTGCATTCAACAAAGTTTGAAAGATTAGCTAATATCATTCCACTATCCTCAACGTTGGCCATTAATGTATTTGTGTGATTATGTGGCTTCATGGTTTTTATGAACTTAAAACTAAATTTGAAATGTAGCTTGTTGATTCATAGAATTCTCTGTACAAATAATTGTAAATTTGATTTATTTTAAAAGAAATGTAATTGTCAAATGAAATTCAATTTCTGTAAAACTGTTTCTCAATTGAAATTTTTCTCACAAAAATATAATTGAGTTAATTCCATCCTGTAAAATGTAAAATAAATGGATGTTAATGGAACACACCATTATCTTTTCACCTTCATTCCTTGCCAAGTAAGACATCTGTTTCAACTAAGAGGTAATCTTGGGTAACTTAATCGACGTTACAAAAACATTGTTTATCTTTTAAAAATAAATCCAGAATGGTGTGGGGCATTAGAGTTAATCTGTGAAATGAAAACTATGCCCACCTAATTCTCTATATGCTCTAGTGCTGGCTATGTAAAGTTCAGACGAAAGCATTTAGTCACAGCAAGTGACGTTTTTACATATTAATGTAGGCTTACCCATCGGTTCATTAATTTGTCACTTTAGAAGAATTGCTCCAATACCAACTTGTGGAATTGGAAAGACAATTTCCATCAAGCATTGCTAATACTTTCTAGTTCTATTTAATCAGTTGTGGAAGTAGGCTTTTGTCCTACCAGACAATAGATCAGTCTGATCTTACAGCTTATGTCTCAAGTGGCTAATTTGTGAATTGGCAGGTTAATGTTCATATCCAAATGAGTGGATAGACCAAAATGAAAACTGCTTAGAAGCATTCTGCTGGATGAAGTGCACCTTAACCAATAAAAGATGACTGGGGTAGGTGAAGTTTATTAGTGTTGAAGAAATCATGTATTGTGCAATAAACAGAAATTAGGACATGTAGTGGGAAGTTTCATTGTGCTGTATATTCCTTTATAGTGTGAGAATTTAGGTAAATGGTGAATATATTCAAAGATTTCGGACTCCCGCTTGAATGAATATATTCCTCCAAGCTTTACCCATAACATCATGGAAGAATTGTTCCTTGGTACTCTATTCTCTTTAATATAATGAATGTTTATATAATTTAGTTTTTGCATTCGAAATTCAGCTATATATTATACAACACCACCATTCTATTCATTTATGATAAACCACAAAACATTGTACACAATGTGTAAATAATAACTTTTTTTTTTTAATGAATACTTAAATGTAATATATTAAGAGCGTTATCTACTTAAGGTTGTATATCATACTGATAATCGAACATAATAATGAACGAACTAAATTTTCTGTGGGCGAATCTACTATACTTCGGTTTTTTTCTCGGCACATGAGGGGCATTCAACACAATAGAATGTCACAGTATTTCAGCGTCTGCAGTCAGTGCAAGCTCACCCGTCTTCCTGTTTTGCCGCATGTCGCAGATTTTGCATAATTTGGTACTCTAGTCTAGATGGTCACGATCATGCGACATCTAGTGACACGACCGGGAAAGACGTGAAATGCTGTGATAGGACAACTACTGTGTCCATGATATAATCCACTTTTTCTAATTCAGCGCTTCCGCTGTGTTAAGAAAAGCTAAAATAATCTTTGGTAAGTCTTGGTTCTCCATGGTTTGCAGATGGTTTGTATAACAAAGTTTGTGACGTTTGTGACCTCGTTGCTTTCCTGTGAATCTCAGTGTCTGTCAGATTTGTGCGAACTTTGTAAGGTGGTCTCTCTCGCCAGGGAAATTTGGTCAGGAGTCTCTGGGAACCTCTTGTGAACTTGAATCTTCGAGGAAGTTGTTGCAAGAAGTGAGGGTCGAAGTGTCTGTACCAATACTTCCAGATTTCCAAGTTCTAATTCACAATGGCGGCCATGGCGATGATGCAAAGGAGAACAAACGTGAGAAATCATATGGAAACTTATTTAATTTGTTTCATTATTTTGTTCATTATTAGTGCGTTCCGATCGATCTTGGGTTTGTGGTGCCGTGAAAGTTTCACTCTACTATTATTACGGGTGTTTGTGGATGTGTTGCAGGTGCGACTGCCACCAGAAGTCAACCGAATTCTATATATTCGTAACCTACCGTACAAAATTACAGCTGAAGAAATGTACGATATTTTTGGGAAATATGGTGCTATTAGGCAGATTCGAGTGTAAGTATTCTATGCAAGTCGCAGTGTTGTAGAATTCATGTACCAGAGATAGGAGTTCTGATGAATAAAATGTTTTATGCATAGTAAGTGCTGGGTAACTTGTTTCAAATTCTGTGGTCACAAGAGTTTTACTCAAATGTTTCAGTAGCTATCTTCTGTCGTGATTGATTTGTGTACTGAATTAACTTAAAATTCTGGTGCAGGGCAACATTGACTGTTGACCACATTTGTTGAATGTAATGTTTAATATGAGCTGTTGTCTTCATTTATTGTTTTGTAGTAAATCTTCAGCATTCAAGAAAAATATTTGTGTGAAAAATGTGACTCTTTCTGTTGTTTTTTTTTCAGAGGCAATACTCCAGAAACAAGAGGTACTGCATTTGTCATTTATGATGACATATTTGATGCCAAGAATGCCTGTGATCATTTATCTGGTTTTAATGTGTGCAATAGATATCTGGTTGTCTTGTATTATCAGGTATGTTTCAACATTTTTGTTTTTGCATTGGATTTGTTTCATTAAAGTCAATTGGAATTAAGGAAATGAAAAAGGCTATGTACACTATTGTTCTGTTTCAATTGTTAACATATTTCATTATTTCCTTCTAGTCAAATAAGGCATTTAAGAGACTGGACATAGATAAAAAGAAGGAAGAGTTGGACAAAATGAAAACTAAATACGGGCTGAATACTGATGAGAAGAAATGAGTGTTATACATTTTTTGTGAAACTTGTCATGGTAAATGTGAAAAATTAAATTATATCTCATGTTGAGACTGTATATACCAATGATTGATATACATGATGTTAGTTCTTGATGTGGGGAAATTGGCATATCAGAGAGGTCATTTTAACCTACAATTTTTTATTCAACACAATTTTGTAGAGGTTTTGTATATGTCTCATACAAATAAATTTGATTTTGTTGGTGATGAGTCACCTTGGTTGCCTAACATTGTACAACCATACAATAAAGTTGTCATTTCCTTCCAGGTTGTTGTTTGCTCCATTTTTGTGTGCTGTTATTACAGAATTGTTTTTTGAGATACATTGAATGAAAGATAGTGGTCTCAATGTTATTTTGCCGGAAGTGAGAGATCTAATAACCATAAAGTACTTGTGTGGGGGTGGCAAATGCATGCACACCCACACATTTACTATTAGCTACCAGTGATTGGAATAAACACCACCTTACGATGGGTTGAATTAGTGGCAAGTAGTGTTTACAGTAGTGAATGTTATTAGACACCCTGAACTCATTTATATATTGGGTATTATATTAATAACTAAAAAATATAAGGAAATCATTTATTTCTTCCTGATTTGTGAATTATCTTTTTATTGGGAAAATTAGTGTCTTCACTCCTTTGTAAAGATAGTACAAGGTTCATTTCAAAATTTTAAATTTATGATTGAAGTTCAATGTAATGGTTAATGAGTGTCTCTCTTAATGTGGGGTCTTCAGATATTAATGTAGGCACTTAAAATTATCAGTTCTACCAATGTTTCCCATTCCAAAAAGTAATTACTTTTCCTATTAATCATTCGAAAAGTTATTAAAGTTACAGAACTAAAAAAACCGACCATCCAACTGATGTTAGATGTTTCTAAGTCTTAGTAGAGTTTCATGTTTCTTAAATATTTTATCAGTTAAAAAAAAATTATTATATTTGTATTCCTAAAGAATTTTAGTCTGTGCAGAAGTAGCCACTAAAATCCTGCTGAATAATTATAAAAAAAGGTGATAAATAAGAGGTGGCCAAATTGCAATTTCACGAACCCTTGTGTAATATTAAAATTTGCCAATGCTCAAAAGTAAATCATTAATAATGGCCAACTTTGTTGCAAAACAACCAACCTTGCTTTTGCTGAATTTAAAAAAAAAATTAAAAATTGAAACCGGTGTACAATCATCATCCTCTATGTAAATGTTTATGAATTTATTGTGCCTGTTTGTCAAATACAAATTTGAGTAATCCATGTGTTTTTCAAGGTATTGATCTATATTTTTATAATTTTTCATTACTTCCAACTTCAGTTAATTACATTGTTAATATAAAGGGAAAGTAAATGTATTGAACTGGAACATTGCAATAAAGTGGCTGAATGTTAGGTGATAGATTGTAAATCATTTTATGAATACCATTTCCTTTATCATTGGTCTTATATTCTATGATAAGTCAGGAATTGCTAAGTATGTTAATTTTAAATGAAAATTATTGGTCTGGTCGATGCTGGAAAAACGTAGTACGATAGTAAATGTAATTAATTTAACCAATAAACACTCAAACATAGTTTGAGAATGTTTTCACACCTGTAGATAAGAAACTAAGTCCAAGTAGCATGGATTAAATAATGTTTCAATACCAGGAGAGTTTACAAGCCAACAACTCCTGTTCTGAAGCATGGAAATGTAGTCTGGTTGTGATATACATATTTAATCCATGATATTTGGTCTTCAATTGAGGTACAGATCAGATTTTTCTGGAACACGTTTGCTGGCATTTTTAAAAATTATTTAAACTTGTTTGTGGTATAATTAGTTTAACTATCCATTGTTAATGAGTAGTCTCTTGTGGGGCCAAATGTGTCTATGAAAGACATTTGCAGAGCAATTCTAACTGGGCAAAATTCATCAAGTGATAATATTTCTATTAAAGTGTGTTTTTCCAAGAATGTGATCAGAATACAACATTTAATAGCAAAAGTTGATAAATGGAACTTTTAGGTAATAATGCTTTAACTTTGTGGAGTTCTGCTCAGCTGATAAAACAAAATTATTAATTTAATTAATTGCTACATTTTTGTATTGTATTGGGCTATTTGTCATTTAATACTAAAAAAGCCAAATTAATGATTTGCTGAACTTTGAATTAACAGAACATATAAGTCCAACAATTCTAAGAGAGTTTTGTAGTTGTCAAGTGTAGAATAAATAGAAATCCATGAATTTAATTATATTACGTAAATATATAATTCATGAAGGGAGATTTACAAAAATGCTAATGTAATTTGTAATTTCACAATGAAAGTAGTCATCAGTTGACAGATTACAAAGTATCATCAGTGGACAACCCTTATCATTTTCCTTATTCTACCCAGTGAACATGCTTCAGAAGAATAGATTGTGTACCATAGGGGAAATGAAAGGTAGCGGTAAATCCTGATTGATGAAAATTTTCAATTAAATAAAATCAAATGATGAAAAGTGGATATTAAGGAAGACAATCTTGTTACCGTGTACAATGCCGCAAGTCAAACTGAATTACGAAGGGATTTGCCTAAACAATTGCTTCTACTTCGTGTTTCTTGTGCCTTATTTTATATGAAGTGTAAATTTGATTACAAACGAGTAATTTATTGGGAGTGAATGGAAAATTTTATTAAGAGCTAATATTTGGCGAATATAGAGCTCAATTCTCATTGGACAATTAGTGACAGGTAGTAATTCAACCACGTGCAACCTCCCTTCAGCAATCCTCAGTTGGCAGCATTGGAATGCCATAGAAAAAGCATAAGAAACAGTCTTCATCTTGCACTGTGAAGGTACTAGTTTACGTTGTGGGTGAAGTGATCGGTGACTGTGATTTATAACATCTTTATTAAATGTATGAATGTTGTGGGACAGGTGATTTAACAGGGAATACGTTCACGGATATAATACATAACGTCATTGATGCAGGTCGTGCATTTTGTAGTGAAAACGCGAACAGTGCGCTAATAGTTGTCTCTGTGGTAGTTGTAGTTGTGCTCGGATTTCAATGTTTGGTATGCGCTGGCAACGTGATTGGCTGTCGGTCAATTACTCGACTTGCGGGCGGGAAGGGTGCTGGACCGTCGCCTGCTACGGTTAAAAGGAAAGACCACGCCCCCTGAAAGACAACCTAAAAATCGTCGAATTTTGCCACCTAGCAACATCTGAAGGTATTGTCAAAAAATGTGTTGCTTCTTTATCCTATGAAATCGATAACGTATAATTGAAATCTTAAGGTGACACATGGAAATAAAATTATGCCATTTATGAATTGTTGCATTTGTTGTTAGCAACAATATTTTATTTGTGGATAATTTTAATTTAATTTGTAGTGAACTACCAAGAATTATTTTTGATTAATTTTTCTTTTGGTATAACTATATTTGCTCGTGCGTAAAAACTGTTTTAACATACAATTAGAGAGATGTTCCAGATTAATACATTCACTAGACGAAGACGAGACGAAATTGCTTTAGTTTTACCTATCTTAATTACCTATCTAAATTAAAAAAATATTTTTATGCTAAAAATATGTTCATGATCCATTTTGATCATCATTCTTCATTAGGAAATTCATTTTCATTGTTGCACCTGAGTTCCGCATTTTATCTTGCCCAAAACGAGTCACAGCACTTGTTTTGCAACGGAAATAGATATGTAAAAAGTGGGGGGGTATGAAATAATGGAGTAGAATTTGATCAGTGTTTTCAGTACAGTCATTTAATTTCTTGCTTACGAGTGCATATGTGAGAATATCGCCCAATTCTCTACAACATATTCAATAGTCTGAAAGTGTACCCTGCCGACCCGCAGTAGAGGTAGGATTCCTGTTCTAAAACAATTTACACATTGAGTAAAAAATATATTTCAGTTTAATGTTTAATTGCAGTGATTTTCATATTGATGAATTTGTATGTGAGATTTTTCTGTTTTTGGAAAAACCAAAACACAAACGACAAAATGATACACTGACGGGTCAGCACGTCCGCTGTGTCACCTGTACTTGGCACCCGACCTACCCTACAGCTACCTCCCTAATTCGGTCCAGAATTAGGGAGCGGATTTTAATGAAATGTCGATTTTTTTTTTAAATTTTAGAACAATGCCGTTTAGCATAGACATTTAAGTTTGTTATGACGAAGCAAATGATCCGTTTTTATATGTTTTTTTTCCCTTTTTTCGTCGATTTCAACTAATAAGTCATATTTAAAGCTTTCCCCCTTGATTTCATAGATTTTATTATAATATTAATGGTACTTGCTACAAATAATATTTACGATGCAAACACGCCCCCTAGTGATAGAGAATTCCTTTTTTTTAATTAATTAATTTTATTTTTTTTAAATTCAAATTTTGACACGAATATAAGCATCACAGTTTCTTAATATACAATTCTTACCTGTTTAATTAATTATTATTTATTGTTGCAATCGCAGTCAATAGGGCTCTCAATAAAACCCGCGCTGAGGTTCCTGAGAACTTAGGTACTTTCCTGAATCTATCACAATATCAATTTATTTAATAAAATTAACTGGTATTACCCTTTACATAGAAAAGATACGAGATGAAAAAGAATTATCAGGGTAAAGCATGTGTTAACACATGAAAATATCAAAAAGATCTCATAGATGGAAAGTAGTACAAACATTAGCGCAAAATAATGAAAATAAAAGTAAATAAAAGCTTAAAAATTTCACATACTCAGAAGTAATTACGAGGTATATTCAAAAACCTTGAAAGGCATTATTTCCAATTATAAAAATATCATAGCCCCAAAGCTATTTGCCAAATCACAAATGCGATTCATCGTGTAATTACCGTAATAGTTACTTACAGAAGTGTCAACTAAAAAGAAAGTAGTTCCCCTAAAGATTCGCTTTGGCACTCTATACAATATGCAAGAAAGAATGTATGCTCAGTTTATTCTATCCCACAAAATATGACGTAGGAAATAAATATATGCACGTTTTCTTCTACAATGAAGCTTATTTAATTTAGATCTTAGGAGAATGATATCATAGTCATAATCGTCTGGGGCCATTATTAGGCAAGTTCTATGAGCAATACCCCGTAGGAAGTTATATTGAACTCTTTCAATGGCTGATATACACTGTTTCTTGCTTACGGCGATGCATATTCAAGAATTGGTCTAACAAGTGCTCGATAAAGAACCAAAACGGCGACAGCTGACCGAGACTGCATAGAGTTCGCAAGACCATACCCCATATTTTCAGTGCCTTAGAAATAACTCTCTGACTAGTATTCTCAAAAGTCAACTTACCATCAAAAGTGACATCCAGGTCACTTATACAATCAACTCTGCTCAAAGCTTCATCTTCAGTTTTATAATTGGTATTATTTTATTCCAACAAAATACCACGTAGAAAGGAAATATAAGCACGCCTTCTTCTACAATGCAAATTATTTAATTTAGATCTTAGGAGAATGACATAATCTCCTAATCAGCTCTAGTAAATGACATAACAAAGCATTTCCCCCACATTTAGACTCATTTTCCCTGCACCATGTCTGCAAACTGCAAAGATCTCGCTGGACCAAAGCAACGTCGTCATCATTGTTAACAACCCTATACATTTCGCGTCATCCGCATAAAGTAGACATCGACTATCGAACATATACCCTGATAGGTCAATTATAAAAAGATTGAACAGTAGGGGCCCAAGATGCGAACCTTGTGGAACACCACTAGTGACACCAAATGTACCCGATGAATAGCCTTTAATACAAACAAGTTGCTTCTGTCCGTCAGGTCCAATCCAATTTAGCGAAACTACTCCAAGCTCCCTTAATTTCGCAAGTAAGATAACATGATTAATGCTATCAAGGACATTCTAAAAATCAGTATAAATCACATCTAGTTGCGTTATATTTCTTTATTTTTACTCCCTCTTATTCGTACGTCTTATACGTAGTGTAAAGAAAGTTACGTAATGTTGCGGAACAACAATTTCGAGTTTGCAACGGAAGTTCACATTATATTTTTCAAAACGTCCATCTGTCGTGTGTAAACTACACTAATGCTTTTAACCTATTCATAGGTTTTTTTTCGAAATGAATAATCCCCGATCAATGTAGCCCTAGTCGAAGCTGTGAGATTTTAAACAGATTTATTTCAATTTTTTACCCCCCCTTGGCCAAGGGACATGTTCAATATTTTCTCAAAAATGGATTCTAATTTTTTCTGTAAATATCTTACTAAAATAGGGTGAAATGCACTTATAAAGATGACTCAGGTCTGATGTTTACTTCAAACTGTGAATTTTCAAAAATTGCATACGTTTCAGATTTTTTGAACCCTCCTCTTACAACTACTACAAGAATGAAGATTTTTTTCCTTCAGATAAAATTTGTTCTTCACAGTTATATTTTTAATTAATGTTGTGTACATTATAAAATATTGATAGTTTAGCGGAATTTTGAGTGAAATAGGTAATTTTAAAAACAAGATTTTCTCAAAAACCACACCAATTTTTTTCTTTTCACACTTCGTTTGTATAGAGTATCCAATGAATAACGTGATCGTATTCGTGATCGTAACGTGATCGTATATATGATGAATAACGTGTTTGTATCCAATGAATAACGTGATAATACCATTTTGACATATTCGTTTTATTTTTCAAAAAGTACAAAAATGTTATTCTTTTGAAATATTTCTCACGTCGTTAATGAACATAAGATAATTGCATTTGCGAGTAGACGTGCTTATGCACAAAATATTTATTGTGAAAATTTTTGACAGTTTTTTGTGAAGTAAATTAAACTTCCGAATTATTTTCCGAAATGTTCGAATTACATTGCCTTAAAAATGGCTCTGAGTTTTTCAATGAAAAGTTAATCGTGTCAATGATATTTCTAAGGTCATATTTCCATTTTCCTTTCATGGGTCCGAAAAATTGAGAAATTGTAAAAAGGATAAAACTACCCCAACAAATATTACATGAAAGTGAGATAAACCACTGTGTTGATTATTCATATACACTGAAAATATTACGTTTTACGATATTTTCTTAGCTAATTTTGAGTAAATTAACAATTGCTAGGGATATGTAATGTAATAAAAAACAAAACTGTGCTAAAATAACAAAATGTCAGTCACTTTTTAAAATTTTTCCTTGACAGTAATTTTAAGCACCAAAATGTCATGGAAAAATTACTGTGTGGCTTTTGTCTTATTGCAATTTGCCACAATTGTTTCTTCATAAACTACAAGAGAAATGACGTTTTTTCTATTTCCAAACATAAACGAACAAGAGTGACTTATGTCATTTTGTGTCTCATGACAAAGTGACTTGTATCATTTTACCATCTCAGCACTGAAAATATGTACATGTTTCCAACAATACGTGAGAAAAAATAGTTAATATGGAATGATAAATTCATGATAAATTGATCTCAAATAAACAAATTCCTAAAAATTTAGTTAAAATTATCCCTTTTCAAATTTCCGAACACAAAATGTGGCCATTGAGACCTTAAATTGGATTCGGAGCTCCTGAATGAACCATTCTAGTTCTACAAGTTATTGAACCTTTCCTTCACCAAACAATGTGGGTTTTAAACAAAATATAAAATACTCGTACGTCCGTAGAATATTGAATGTTATTGTCAGAAAGCACTTGAGCAGCTCCACTACATTGCCAGATCGGAGGGGGGTACTTGGGCAATGCTCCACTTAAATTCACGTCTGTTTACGTTGCCTCTGCAGTAGGTATCGTTGACCGGGAATTTCTAGGGTTCGAGACCCAACGTCGGAGGATTTCCAATGTTAGATTGCTGCGTCGAATTCAACCAGTACGGAGGAGAATTCTAGTGGTCAGCTGCTCTGATCGGTAGTTTCTGTTTGCGTTTTT